CCCACTGATTCTTTTTACCTTGAAAACCTGTGTGTATTGGGAAGGTAATCTATTGCATGCACTGTTAGTGTGTAGAGCTAAACGCTAACATGAAGGATACTCGCCTCATAAATGGATCTGACCATAGACAGGCATTTCTGCAAGGCACTGTACTTTCTATACGACATATCCAAAGAGATGTCAGAAGTCTAGCTGCTACTGAACCCACAGAAACCCAAATGGTGGGCTGCTAATTAGCATTGAGTAGGTTTGTCAGCTGTACCTATGTAAGAAGATATCTTTTATGTTCTATAACAATACTGCAAAGGACTAAAAAAAAAAAAAAAAAAAAAGGGAAAACCACTGTGAATCTATAAATGTATTGAAAATTTTTACTTTGACCTAATTGAAAAGAAAAAGAGTTAATTCAGAACCTTTCTTAGTAAAGAATGAAAGATGAGAGAAAAATCATACCGTGTGGACCAATGCAATTTCCAAGTACTCAGTGCTACTAAGATTTGAGCCAACAGAAACTAAATGTGTTATTAGGAGGTTAGTGCAACTGCCCTAGCACTGCATGTGGAGAGGAGGACTAAATAACCAGTTTTACAAGGTAGACAGACCGTGGTCAGCATTGGCGAGACAAATGTTTGTAAATGATTACATCATGTCTTGAGCTCTAAACGCCTGTAAGGATACTAGAAATAATGCACTACAATGGCTTGACAGCACCCATATTCTGCTGCCATTCCCTCAGTCAGAGAGGGAGACAAAAAAGGAAAGGATTTAAATATACCTTCACATATGCATACGCACCATTTTATAGTCTGTTTGACTTGTTAGAATTTATCCTTTACAAACACAGGAATTGCAAAGTTAAATAGGAGGTTAGGTAAAGTTTCATGTATGCCTGTTTGTTTTTCCTTCTTAAAGAAATAAAAATGGCTACCGAAAATAACAGATGCTGCATGAAGGGTTGAAGCAAAGATATTGTTTTTTTCTGTGCTACCTAGAAGCAGACAAGCTCACACAACTTCCACTTGAACAATTTGCTGCTCACAGCAGCACAACTTACCAGTAATAATAGAAAAACAAAGGAGCAGTGTGCTTGCTATGTAGTAGTCACATATCTGGCAAACTAAACGCTCCTGATAACATGGCTGGTTTCGACAGGAGGTGAGTGGATTGGCTTTCACAGGTAAATACTAGCAAACAAAAACTAATTTGCTAAACATTGCACTATAGAGACAGTAGACCCTCAGGTCGCTACTGAAAAATGACTTGGCTTAGCGAGAAGAGCACTGATATTGCTTGAGGTGCCAAGACTGGCCTTGTTCCTCGTGCATTCACAATTGCAGATCTTGCCAAGGTTCCGTGTTTTATGACTTTTTTTTTTTTTTATTGAATATCGATCCCTAGTGCAAAGATGGGTAACAGTATTGGAAAACACAGCCATTATCTCCCTCCGTCTCCATAACTTACTATACTCCATAGTAAACAAACTGAGTAAACAAGGTCAGCAAGAACAAAAGAAGCTGAGAAAATTTTCATGGCTTTCATTTGAATGAACTGTACTGTCCATCTGCTTTTTCAATTACAGCATAAAAGTAAATAAATAGAAGAACCACTGTGAAGTAATAATCAAAGAGTAAATTAAGCCTAGCTTTTTTCCTTTGTTCTTAAGAAAGCAGTTTGAATATTCAAAGATGGTTTTCTAACATAAACCCACTTTTTAGGCTCTATCTCATTTGCTTAAGGGGAGAACTGAGGAAGACACTGTCGGTTGGCATTATAATGAACAGAACGCATAAACAATACACAGTATAAAAATTACCAACATGAGCGAAAGCCCAAAGCCCTTTGAGATCCTAAGTATATGCTACAATTTCAAACGGCCATGCCCAGCGTTAGCAGACACTCCCAGTCAATCTCATTTTTGTATCTCCTGTAACTGCTTCAGAGATGAAGATACTATACATTACCAAACCCCAGGAGCTTTTCAAGCTTTACTTGAAAAGCAAGTGTTACATTATGGTTTTAAATTCTGAAATCTGCAGGGACTATAAAACAGAGTAAATTAGTTGGCTGGGTAATAGAGCCAGGACCTGATCCCATAGTGATGAAAGAATTTCCCATGATTTTCAAACAACTGGTTCAGTCAGCCAGCTGAGGTATTAAAAAAAGAAATAGATTGAGCTAACCCCAACTTTTCAAAATAGTTGTGACCTTTGCCAAAGCAGAAATAGGGAAAATAATTAAAAAGAAAAAAAAAAAAAAGAGAGAGAGAACAAGTGCTTTTTTTTAAATGCTCTAGATAGGGACTCAAGATGTCTTACCTTTTTTCCTTAAAGAAGTTTTAAATGGATATAATTTTAAGCATCAAAAGAGACAGAACCACATTATCATAGATGTTAACAAGAGGCAAAGTTACATAGTAATTGAACTTTCATAAAAGCCTCCCTTACAATACCCATTTCAAATTACAGTTGCATTTTCTTATTTCACATTTGATCCAGACCCTTGCCAACTTCTTTAAGCTGTCACACCACGCTTATGATTGGAGTAACTCTTTATGGTACACATGTACAAAGCAAAACCAAAAAAAATTGTTTGAAGGGAACATGTTCATGAGCATCAGACTGATGAATTGAAAGAAGTGGTCAACAAAATGGGCAAGGAGGTCTAAATATATAAGCATACCAATAATGCAGCTTCATGTATTAGATTTTTCACCCCTAAGTAGGCTTTGCAGAAATGTGTTGCTAAAATCACTGAGAACGCAGGCTAACCTACAGAATGTGGCTTTGCTATATAATGACATAGCCCTACAACAGAGCAAAGCTTCTCCCCACTTTCAACCCCAGCAATTTGATTCAAGTACAATCTCAGACACTTCAGGCTTTGGTATTTCTAGCCAATCTCTTTTGCTGCATTTTCTCTGAATGTTACCAATCATCTATGCAATTTCAGCTGCAAAACTAATCTTTGCAGTATATTACATGTAATAACCCCTTTTAAAAACTGAAGCCCTTATGACCTCTACTGTATTTCAAGAACTTTTCATGATCTAATACCAAATTGAAATATTTCCTTTATCAAGTGCAAATATATTTCTTCTTTTTCAAGTACCACCATCTTCTTTAGTTCAATGAGAGGCAAAAGCTTTGAAAGGATTCCTGTAGCCCGATTAACATTTTTGTAATTGCGAGAATTTCTAGAACTGCCACCCGGTTATAAAAAGAAATCAAAATAACATGGAAGGATATTTGCAGACAGGCACAGAGAGGTAGAAGCCATATGACTCTGAAATAATTCTGCACTCAAAGGCTCTCATTATTTTAAAATATTTTATAAAAATAATTTATACAAATTGTCTCCTAGGAAAAAAAAAGATGAAAAAGGACAGAAACAGGACAGAGGCATGGCATCATAATGAAAATTTTAAAAATCTGTTTTCTACTTAACATTTCATTTCTTAACAGAAGGAAGACATTTATTAAGAAGGGATGCAGGATTAGATTCCACAATCATCCCAGTTAAAACATGTACAGACACACATTCACATGCGCGCACACACACGCTTTCTGTTGAAGGACCTTCAGCTGAAGCAACTCTGATCTAATCTTCTCTAATGAAGCAAGAAACCATTAATTCTGATTTTGGTTTTGGAGCAATTCTGCCACCCACAAGAAAGGTAATGCTGGGAATGACTTTTTTTGTGTGTATGAGATGGTGAAATCACCCTTTATTTATGGCAACACACTGGATAGATTTAGAGGTATTTTAAATAAACGGTTTCTGTAACAGAATCTAAAAGGGTACAATCTAGCACAGAGCAGTTCCTGTAAGTTCAAACAGGATTTTTGTATTATTATTATGTATACATGCATTAATGATTATTCAGTGCTTCAAGATATGAACTTGACTGCCCAGGAGGCTGCAATGTTCCAAGTATAAACATCAGGCTCCTGCAGATTTCAAGATCCTATACATTGGCTTGCTCAGCTGAATTCTTCTGTCACATACAGCATCCATTATATATTAACTACACTTTCTTATTGCAGATGGCTGGTGATAAAACTCAATTAATAATCCACTGTGTTTCTCAAAACATTTTAAAAGCACAGCCTTATCATCACCGATTCATCCTGCGTTAAATGAAGGCAAACAGAAATGCTATGAAAGGCCTCCGCAGTGTCTAACCTAGAAGGAAATATAACCTCCTAAAAACAAACCAGTGACAACTAAATATTTTCACTGAAACTGCTGAAACAGGTTTTGTTGGTTGGTTGGTTTGTACAATGTGTGTTTTCTTTAAAGAGGTGGTGAGATTTGGGGTGTGGGGGGGTATTTTTTCTTCCATGACTCATCCAGCATGAATCTCTTCTACAAGAAAGTGTTCCAGAAATAAAAAGTGATACTCAGAATAGTAGTATGTATGCAGATGAATTACTACACAACATTGACTGAAAAAACCCCACCGAAAACAGCCAACATGCAAACAGAACTGTGAGGGTATTTTCAGGCAAAAATTGTTTGTTTTTTCCCCTTAATAGTTCTATTATTTTATCCCATAGGATATTCATTTCCACCCCAATATATTAGGTTTCCTGTATAATGTGAACAAAAACATCGAGAACAGAAGTTACTTAAGACAGTAATAGGTCCACAGAGGGCAGCGGAAAAAAAAGAAAAAAAAAAAAAAAAACAACACAAAAAAAAAGGAAGAGTACAAGGTTCTCTCTTATTTTTTCCCTTTTCTTTGTAAATTTTGATTTTTTTTTTTTTTTGGTTGTGCTTCTTCACCGAGGGCAAAGTCTGGGGGTGCACAGGGGAGTGATTTTTTGGCAGTGGGGGTGGAGGATTGGCTCCCCTCTCAGTTCCAGGCAGGGTTTACTGAGCCCTCAGGACCAGTGCTCACTGTCCCATAACTGCAATATCACTGCAGCATTTCCTCCGGTTCAACACCCTTTCCGTACGGTACCAGTGCACGGCACACACCAAAAGCTCTACCCCCTTACCTCCCAAACGCTGAAGAGCACTTTCCACCGGACCCGAACAGACTGGCCACCCAGCCCGAGGGGTGGCCACGGGAGCCATCACGCTCACATGATGAGCCAGCTCCCATGAGCTGCCCACGCTGCCAGGCCGAGGAAGGCGCGATGCTGGCGAAGTGGCCGAGCCAAGGCAGCAGCGACCAGCTGGACCTTTTAAGGTAGAGGTGGCAGCGTCCAGCTGTGACCATTGGCCACAGCAGAGCCGTAGCGCTGAGCAGGACTAGAGGAGGTGCCCTGTTATCAGCGTGCAACATCAGCGCTGTGGCACTGACAGCCACCCACTGTTTCTCCTCTCGGAGCTGCTGAGAACGGTCGCAACTGAGTTTTATCTTACATTAAATTATTAACTGGAGATAAATGCAAGCAAAAGTTGCTTTGGGGTAGGTATGTATGTTTTTAAGTGCAAAACATCTATCTATTAAAACATTTAACAGAAATTTATTATTTTCATTGGCTTTTCGCTTACTCTATAACACACACTACATCATTTTGTAGGAATTTTATTATTATTATTATTACAATTCCGTATTTCTGTTCAACTCAAAATGATGAATGCAAAACCAATACAATAAGTAACAAATGTATCCACGGTGACCAAACAACAAACGCTAAAGCACTACACAGTGAGTGAAAATTAGCAGTTATTGAAATCACTCCATCAAAATTCTGGTGCAACATGAAAGAAAGGCTCATGCAATTAAAAGGGTCACAGTAAGTTTAATTATTTGAAAGCTCAGCTCAAATAGTAGAATATACATAGTAGAATGTAGTAGCATAGTAGAATATCTCAGCCCAAAATCTTCTTGGAGGCTACAGCTTTAAAGAGAGCAAGAAACACTATGAACGATCCCTGAATTTAGCAACTTTTCTCTCTGATGGTTAAGAAACTCACTTAAGCCATTAATACTTGCTCTATAAGAATAATACTTCCAGAGGGTTAGGTCTTACTTTCCATGGTAATTATTTCAGTATTTATTTCAACCTTAACGCTGTACACGTGTTCCCACTAGGCCACCTGACATCAGCAGCAATTAGACAAGAAGGCCCAGAAAACAAGCAAGATGCATACAAACACAGAAATGCTTTCTTTTTCTTCCCTTCCTATTCTTTAGGTGGTCCAATAGTAGCATGCACAGAGGGAAAAATACCACAGAATTCTTCACTAATATTAAAAGGAAATTATTTTTTTCCCCTCAGAAAATATAAAATTCCAATATTGTCTGTGTGATGGCTATAGCAATTTTAAGTCAAAGTAGGTGTGCGAGGTACGCAGTCAAGCTTTCATCTGGCTCTGTGCAATACTGCTTTGTGCAGTAAGTGTTACAACAGGGACAGGTGAGATTACAGCCTTTCTGGTTTCCCACAGACAGAGTAGAAAAACACCCAGGAAAACCACAGGTAAACATTATCCCCATTAGCTCATGCTTTGTTACGCAAAAGACAGAAACAAGAACATTCATTTAAAACTTAATATTAAAGGAAGTTTCAGACTGAACAAAACAGACTGAGAACCTGCCTAACAGAAACTTTCAGTTCTGCTCTCAGAAGTGAAATTTCCTACAAAGCAGAGAGAAACCACAATCCAGTTTGTTCCAATTAAAAACTTGTGTTGCACCAGAAAACAAATAAGCATGTGAAACAGCGGTTTGTATTTTTTCAAAGTAGTAACACCAAAATAAGTTTTATCACCATCACATGTTTCTGAAAATTACCGACAGAAAAAAAAAAAATGATGAAATTAAATACCATATAGCTAACATATACCTAATACCCTAACCAGTGTAACTTCAGGAAACCATAACTTCTAATCCTAGTCACATAGGCAATTGTTGCAAAACTGTCTGTAGAAAAAGAAAACCCACCTCGTGCTTGCAATGATATTAAAGGTAGAAAAATAACCCAAAAGAAATGAGCAAAAAATTAATCTAATGCCACATTTTTAAATGGTGAAGAGACTTAATCCAAAGTACTCAAACCTAAAACCACAATGCTTGTCTATTCTTCCTCATTCTTTGGAAAACGTAGCAAAGCTAAAACATTGCAAATTTATCTTTGGAAGGGACTCTGAGCGGTTCTGACAACTCAGCCAATTTATATTTTTTCTGTTAGGACAGTTTACATCAAAATCAATCTGCTTTCATAATTGATGGGTTTCACTGTTAAAGACAACACCTCCCCCCCAATATTTTTAATTTTATGAAAATAAGTAAATAATGCTTAGCATGTCATAAAGCATAGTACTTTTGTAACAGGGCTCAGAATATTACAAAAGTTCTTCTCTTAAAGCTTGAAGTGAACTCCTGATTCAATATTTAATGAAACTGAGAAAGCTGCTGAATGTCCCAGAAATCCTCCAACTCTCTGCTCCGTGTTCATTCTAAGTATTATGCATCTATAAATTAACACTGAGGCTAGATGAGATTTCAAGTAGCCAGGAATAGTATTTTTTCCATCACACCACTAAGTTTTTGGGGTTTTTTTTGTGGTTTTTTTTGGTTTTGTTTTTGGGTTTTTTTGCTATTTAGCAGCACTAACTTGCAGCATTATATTGCAATTGTACATCCCAGCCCAGTACTGCAGCACTACATTGCTTAGACATAGCTCTACGCTCCAGCATGTTTTTAGGGTATGCAGCCAGCTCAGCTGTAAGCCTAAGGAAGATTTCCATCAAGCAACAAAACTAAACTCTGCACAAATATTTAACAGCTCTGAGACCTCTAAAGGCTTAAAATAATATGCATTTCGTGGTATGCTAGGAGCCAACCCCACACCGGTGATCTGCATAATGCAGAGTACTCGGCAAACACACCGCTGCAAATAAAGCATTGTTTCACCTTTGTGTCTTTGAATTCTTCAAACTAAAAGCTGAATGAAATACTAAGGCTTACTGTGCCTCCCCACCACAGACAGTGCAGTACCAGCTCGTCCATTACATTAAGTTCGTCTAAAACTTCCCATGCCTCACAACCATTTCTCAGCCCCTCGCGGCAGATGAAACACAAGTTCATATAAAACAAACCTAGGATGAGTTCATCCTATCTAGCTTATTTTTCAAGCTGCTAAAACTACGCGGTAGCCCACTCAAACAGAAAATTTCCCAGACAATGGAATCCTTTCAAACTGCACAGCCGACAGGATTCCCCAGTTGTCAGTTTTAGGTGCGTGCCAGCACGAAATGTTCTTGAATCCAAAATTTATAATAATCACTCCTATTGATAATGTCAGCAGAAGCAGAATTACATCACAGTTAACACTTACCAAAATACATTATGTTTCTCATTAATCATGCAGTCAAGATCCCACCGCTGTGTATTCAGCATTAGCTCCCGCACAGGGCTGACATGTACAACAGAGCTCTTTCATTCTACATTATGTGGAAATTTCCCAGCACAAGAAGCGTGAGTGAGCAGTGTGCCTCCTGAGGATGAGCGCTTTGCAGGCAGTCTTATCCCTGATACAATCCCTGTCTGATTTAGCGTTTACTCCGGCTGCATGCTGCACTGCCCATTCTTACTGTAATCTGACTCCTCCTTCTGATGTCCTTGCTGTGCCTGTGACATCAAGACTAAGAGTACTACAAACAGATCTTTTCTTTAACGGGCTTGCAACGACGTGCTCTAATATCCTGGTTAACCTAACTCTGGCTTGGAGAAAAAAAAAAAAAAGCCTTCTGAAATCGTACGTATTTTTTTTCCTTTTTTTTTTTTTGGCAGCAAACGTGTTCAGTGACATAACGTGCTCAATTACATAATAGATGGGAAAGACAAAGCGTATATTGTTAGCGTATTTCTCTTTGAAGGGCAGGCTCCAGGAGAAGCCCCGAGTGCCCTGATGCCCCAGCTTCAGCAGAAGATAAAGATGCTCGGCACTTTGCAAGATCACGTCCCCAGGGACCTTTTTTTTTTTTCCCTCCCCCCCCCCAAATCAGTAGTTCCATTTCAATAAATTATTTTAATCTGAATGTTGGATAAAGCTCAGTGTGTTCTATTTTTAAAAAAACAACGGACAGATAGGTAGTTTGTGGTAGATTTTTTTTAAACTATGTTTTCTTCATATAAATAACAAAGTGCGAGGACAGGAGATATATGACAGTGAGGATTTGTAATGGAGTTTACAACCTTTCACCCTCCAGGTCTCCAGTTCCTTTCTGGCCCAGGTTGATAAGTCATTAGCAGCTGGTAGCTATTTTATTGTTCTGTAACAAATGGAGTGGCCCTAAGTTTGTTGTAAATAGGTCCACACACAGTCCCTGCTGCTATACAAACTAGTAGCAGCTTCAGAGGAAGAAAGACGAAAGAAATACCGAAATACTGTCCACCATCTAGATACAGTGCCTCGGGATGGATCTGACACACACTGGTGTGGCGGCATGGTAAAGCCGATGCGGTCTGTATTTATGCATGTATTATGTCTCTTCTGTGAATCAATAGAAGACATTGGTTTCCTGCTGTCAGTCTGGCATGTATCACTGATAATACACTTAAACTAAATAAAGGTAAAAAATAATGGACAGTATGCTGAAGTGTTTATTTCATTATAATAGGATCTAATGGGATGAATGCTTTCATTCTACAGGAAAGAGGATGACAGGTATAATTCATTTAAAGCTCCACTTCTTATTTGTAAAACTCCACACAGTAACTGCTATTTCATGAGGTCCAATCACTTAGGGCAAAATTATCCCACCAGAACAGCAGCCAAGGAATGCTCCAATTGCAGCAGAAGAGTTAAGAGCCCTGATGCACATCACCGCTACACATCTCAGCAAGAGTCCTCTGCTGCACTGCTCTCATGAGGTTTCATGCTAACTGTATGAAAGTCACCGAGATGAAACACTGCTGGGGGCAACTGGGGCATAAATTTAAGTCCTGTCCCTCACTGGCAGCTCCACAGCTTTCCATTTCTGATGCCTAGCCTTTCTCAGTGCCCTTTCTTATTCCATCTCCCCTAAGAAGAGACATGCCTGAAATGAGTGATACACGGTACACAGATAAACTCCAAAATAAACTTTGCCTCACAACTAAAGAGCACACAGTGCAGGAGCGCACTTTGAGCCCATAGTGCTGAGGTAGGAAGATCAAAAGTTCTTGCATGGTTCTAACTGACCAACAGCAGCTGAAGTTGAGCAAAGCCTAAATCACAGTGAAGAA